AATTATGCGAAAGCTCATAATTAAGCCCTTAAGGGCAATTGCCTGAAACGTCACCGATTATATTTCATTTTAAGGCCACGCAATGTGTTTATTGACGAGTGTGTTGACTTGTTGTTGTTGATGATTGTGCTCGTGTGCCACTGTGCAGCAGCATCCAATAATTTGTTTGATAATTAAGAGGACTAAAATGTTCATTTATATTTTAGAGTAAACACTCGTCAATAAAACTGCAGCCTTAAAAAAATATATATTCATATATATTCATATATATAGGATAGGTGACGTTTTGGCAAATGTCCCGTCTTCTTTATAGCACGTGAAGCTTCTTCATCGCAACTTGTTATGAAGAAGGTCCATTATCTGAAACAACAATTATATATTTATCTTTAAGGCCGCAGTCTTATTGATGAATATGATGACATTTTTGTTCTGTACAAATGGTGCTTGTGCACGAATGCCAACGCAGCAGGAGCATCACGCATCACCAATGACGCGTGCGTATATATTCATGAAGAGCGATTCGGGTGTTTGGGTCAATTTCAGAAAATAAATGAGTGGTTTCACTTCTGCGTTATTACGAAACCTCATAAATAATGTCGAAACATGTTTGCCCATTTGTGTTTGGCATATATAAAAGCTCCAGTGATTTCTTATCTCACGTGGCCATATTTGGTTCTGTTGCCCTTGATTGAGTCCCGATAGATATACCCCACTTTAGCACATTGAGCCATAGAGTGCAGCTGCTCCTGCCACTGTTCACAGCTGAAGTGTGTGAAGCGTTCAGTAGGACGGTGACCGTGGTGACCAGGCTGTTTAAGCCATCTTAGAGCACGAATACAACTACCGCAGTCATCGTTTTGTGTCCCCAAGTAGGGAGGGGTTGCATCTTCTTCATTCGAGACGTGCAGCCGAGCTGTCGAGCTCCGTTTTATGAGCTGCACCTTACTTTAAAAAGTCAGCCACATAAGAAAAAACATTACCTCTGTGACCCTCTTAGTAAGAAACCAGAACTCCATTATTATTATAATTAGTATACGTAATTATAAGGATTGGGATAACCATTCCACTTAGATTACTTAAGGGCAGAATATATACTGTATTTGTTACTGACGAGTGTAGCGTTTAAACCACTACTGCGTTGTATCAGGTGTGTTTATTTTGATTTAATTAGTGAATATGTTTACGTCTTGAGATTCCTTCATCCAGCGTCATTATTTTTCCAGGAAAATCGCATTGAGCGAGGCATTTTTCCACTCGGTTCCTGAATGTGGATGTTTGATCAATCCCATTAACGATCGTTTTGTTTGCCTTCACGTTGGAGATAGCTTGAGAACCCGGAGAACAACCCCCCCTCCCCTGCCCTCCCCACGATTCGAGGGGATGACACTCAACGCTGCCACCTCTTTATAGCGACATCTTGCACCACCGCACCGACAACACATGGGAAGCCTGAGTGGTGAACGTCATCGTCACCACCACCACCAGCAGCATCATCATTATCCTGCCGACGTCACTAATCTGGAACGCAGGTGTATCCATCGCCATTGGACGTTGATGGTGTGCATGCGGAGTGCGCTGGTGCATTAACGTGGCAGTGAATAGAGATTGACTCCATTGAATAACGTAATACTCTATGCAATCATATAGGCATTTTGAAGATGCCACGTTAGGGATGTAGCGAGGCACCCCTAAGTAGATGCGTGTGCGCGAGCACGGCTAACATCAGTGGCAAACGGTGTGTTAAACTAGTCCCGGGTCTTTCCCCTCGGGCAACTCAGCGTTACAATGAACACGATCTGATGTGTGAACAACAGCACTGGGGAGACAAAGGCGGCCATGCGTGGTGCTGGCTACAATATATTGCCGTACAACGATCTCGGCTTAATAGTTGCTCGCTAACAGCACCTGCCCCAAGAGACTACATGGGGGATTTTTTTTGTATTTGCGTGCGTGTGCTGTTTCCATCTTATAAAAGAACGCGGCCATTGCCACTCGGAGAGAAAATACTCGGAGGAGATGCAAGGGAGACGTGAGACACAGGGAGGAGACACAAGCGGACAGAGAAGACAACAACGAGGCTCCACGTTGACGAACGGGGGGAGGAGACACGAGGAGACGCAGTGAGACACAGAGAGTGGACAAAGAGACGAGACGGTGGAGACACGTGAATGAAACAGAGAAAATTGTGATGCAGATAAGCATATATGATAATGGTGATGCACGGATGATGGTGATAATATGTGATGATCATGGTGTTTGTTAATTTGATGATGATGATGACGATAATAATTGTATTATGATCAAGGTGATGTTGATTATAATGTTGATAATTATATTATGATATGTTGATCATGATGATGTTGATGAGTCTATATGACTAGCTTGTTTGCCCGTCCTATGGCTGAAGCTGTAATATTAAAGATGTACATTTGCGTTTTCTTGTGTGATTGTAAAATCTGTTCGGAAATGCTGCAACGTAAATAAATGTTTCTTGACTTATTAAATTAAATAAAGGGCTATTAGCATTCTGCCGAAGCATTTTGTCCAACGTTGCTTGGCTCTGGCGAGCTCTCAATCTCTGATGTCTTTCTCCCTGCAAACGGCGTTTCTGATCTGCGGTATCTCCGTCCTCCATGATGTTTGGCAACCCTGGGCTGACGTATTGAGATATTACGACACTCAACGTGCTCCAGCAGCTGGAACACTGCGAATAAGCTTCCCTCGCGCTTTTCAGACACTGTATAGGGCCAGCGTGATCTGCAGAGGGGCCAAATTTCGCGTGATCTGCAGAGGGGCCAAATTTCGCGTGATCTGCAAAGGGGCCAAATTTCGCGTGATCTGCAGAGGGGCCAAATTTCGCGTGATCTGCAGAGGGGCCAAATTTCGCGTGATCTGCAGAGGGGCCAAATTTCGCTAACATTGAGGCAAAAGAAGCATTAAAATTGGTGATTTTTTTTTGACCAGGGACTCTTCGGTATCTTCCACAATAGTCGAAGGCGAACAATCTCTTTGGTTGAGAAATTGGAGAAAAAAACCCGTTACTGGACTTAACTTTAGCACTGTTTTCAAATCACCTGAAGCTGTTAAGTTGAGTGGCGATACTGTCCGAAGTAACTTAGCAAATAGCGAAGACCAAACATAAGTATCAGAGTTACGGGGGGGGGAGGGGGGGGGAAATGATCAGAGTACAATTGTTACAATCTCGTGTGAATGTAATGGCAGGGAAATATTGAAAACAAATAATGTCATCGAACACTTCACTGCATTTCACTGTAGCACTGCATTAATGGCAGTGGTTGTTGCACGCAACTATGCCGGAAAGCACCTGACGTAATGTGACAGTAGCACCGTGTTTAGTGGACCTTCAATTACTTGAAATTAACTGCTCTGATGCTTCGTTATCATCCGCTTTCGCTCGCTGGGGTTGAAAACAATTGGAATTCGATCTAATGTCTGCAAAGTAGCAGAGACGTGTTTAATGCGTAGCACAATTAGGAAGCGTCAGGTACACGTACGTGTCTTTTGTTTGAGGTGGCGAAGGGAAAAAAAAGGCACGAAATGCACTGCGAAGCGGCGTATAATTATTAATTGCCTTAACTTTCTATAAAGATACGTGAAATCGAAAGGGAATTTGCGTTAAAAATGTGTCATAGCCGCTCGACCTTCTTCTGCGTTATTAAACAAAAAAAGCAGGCGGACATGAATAATAATGAGGGGGGGGGGGGGGGGGGCACGTGGAGTGACGTCACGTGCGTTACACACTGACATTCTTGGCTCATTATATTAGTTAATGACAACACGGACCATGATGATGTTGATAAAATGATCGTGGCGATGTAGATAACCATAATCGACCTCAGAGGTCAACTCGGAGTCGAGAATGAGAGACAGCCGCGAGCTATAAAAAAAAAATATTCCTCGCCATTTCCTGTGACGTCTCAATAAATCTCTGCTCTGGTAGTCACAGAAACATCTCTCCGTGATCTCCCACTCCTATTTTACCCGTTGTATATCCACATCGTCAACGCCATCCCACCGTGACATCGCATTGCAGCCAGCAGCCCTGCCATGGCTACCAATCTCGCCGTGACATATCCACGTGTCTAACCACATCCGCTTGTCACTACTCCCTGTAAACACTCACCCTTACCAGCCCCGTCCATTCGTGACATTCTCCCCGTAACCACGCAATCAGTCGTCGTGACGGCACCTCCACGCAATCACGCGCAACATTACCCTGTAACCACAAACCCCTCGTGTCTCCTCGTCACACGGCCATGCATCTATCCCGATCCAACTTGTGACATCCTCCCGTGACTGCCAACCCTTCCGCAACCGCTGCAACATCTCCCTGCAACCGCTCAATCTCCATCCCGCTGCGACATCTCTACGTGTTCAATCTGCATCACCCAGTGACGTGTGTAACCACTCGACCCATTCATGCCTTCGCTACATCCCTCCGTGACAACCATCCCTTCCACCGCCGACCACTCAACCCTTACCCCCATTTCTCCCGTGCCACCACCTCCGTGTACCCCCCCCCACCCCCACCCGCGTTGCTCAAGACGCGCACGTGCGCGGATTCCTAAGCGGCCGCTTCCATTTCTCCTCCTGCTCCCACTCTATCCTTGCGCCTCGAACAATCATCACCATCGTCACCATTCCAGCTCCGTCGCATCTAATGCTGCCACCACCCAGCCCCTCCTCTCCAACCGCAGCCCATTCCCCCTGCTCTCCACTGGCGCCCTCAGCGCCCAAGAAATTAATTATGACATCAATTACTGAGACGCGTGACTCGCGTCAATTCATTACCATCGCCGTGCATTTGCGCTCCGCGGTGATGGGGTGGATATCTCTCCATCTCTCTCTCTCTCTCTCGCCACAACCGCGAGTTCATATCCATCACATTGCCCTCTGGAGAGGGTGGGGAGGGGGGGGCGGGCAAGGTGTAGGGCAAGAGGGCACGGGTTGGGGGCACAGCGGGGGCACGGGCCGCTTACCGCTGCGAGTTGCGCGAGGAGCAGAAGGGTGGCCACGGTGGCTGCCATGGTGCCGCGTCTCCCGGGTTTGGATGGCTCTCCGCACCTCCTCTCCGCGCCTCCTCTCTCTCTCTCTCTCGCCCTTGCGCGTTGGTTATTATTCAGTGGCCGTCCTCACTGGGGTGGAGAATGCCCCGCCTAAACCGCGTGGCCGCTTGGGTGACCGAGTGTGACCCGGGTGACCGGCTGCTGGGATGACCGGGTGGGTTGATATCCCCGTGACTTCACTGACTGCGCGTGAACGTGCGCGTTTGGTCGACCGGGGGTGGTTGTAGGTGAGACTGGCTGGGTGACTGCCTGGTTGCGTGACTTGGTGACGAGGTGATCCGGTGACGAGGATGTCTCCTCCGTGACCGCGTGACTGGGCGACTAGCTTGTTACGTGACCGGCCGGTCACATGTATTTGACCGGACGGCTCAGGCGACTAATTGACTCAGCTGACTCGGTGCGTAATGCGGCCGGTGTGGTTCACGCGCGACTGGGTGAGCGGGGTGACCTGCGCTGCGTCGAATTGACCGGGGTGGGTGACCAGCTTGGCGAGCGATTGACCACGTACACGTGTGGCGACACTCTTCACGCCACCATCGTCGGCGTCTCCGATGGGATCCCCGGGTGACTCTTTCCCCGGCTCAGCTCTTGAGTGAAATGCGGCAGCAGCAGCAGCGAGGGGAGAGAGAGAGGGAGGGAGAGAGCGAGAGAGGGAGGGAGTGAGGGGGAGAGCGCACTGCCCCTCTCTCTGTCCCTTTCCGCACCTCTCCGTGATGTCGACTCGAGCCTCCTCCACCTTTGTGTCTGGGTGTCTCTGCGTGCGTCTCAGCGGCTATGTGTCTCTCTATGCGTGCGATTGTGCCTGTGTCGTTCTCTCAAGATGCGTCTGTGTGTGTCTATGCGTGTCTGCGTCGCTCTTGCTGCGTTCCTCTGTGTTTGTGTGGCCCTCTCCATGGCTGTTGTGTGCTGCGTCTCCGTGTGTCCCCGTATCTCTGTGTCCCTCTATCTCCCTCTGTGTGTGTCTCGGCGTCTATGTGTACCTCTGTGTCTCTTTCTGTCTCTCCTCACGTCCCCTGTGTCCCCCTGTCTGCCCTACCCGTGTCCCCCTGTGTCCCCCTGTCTGTCCTACCCGTGACCCCCTGTCTGCCCTACCCGTGTCCCCCTGTGTCTCCCTGTCTGCCCTACCCGTGTCCCCTGTGTCCCCCTGTTTGCCCTACCCGTGTCCCTCTGTGTCTCCCTGTCTGCTCTACCCGTGTCCCCCTGTGTCTCCCTGTCTGCCCTACTCGTGTCCTCCTGTCTCCCTGTCTGTCCTACCCGTGTCCCCCTGTGTCCCCCTGTCTGTCCTACCCGTGTCCCGTGTCCCCCTATGTCCCCCTGTCTGTCCTACCCGTGTCCCCCTGTGTCCCCCTGTCTGTCCTACCCGTGTCCTCCTGTGTCTCCCTGTCTGCCCTACCCGTGTCCCCCTGTGTCTCCCTGTCTCCCCAACCCGTGTCCCCCTGTGTCTCCCTGTCTGTCATACCCGTGTCCCCCTGTCTGTCCTACCCGTGTCCCCCTGTCTCCCCTACCCGTGTCTCCCTGCGTCTCCCTGTTGTCACCTTGCCTCTCCTGCCCTTACGCAGCGGCCTAATGTAAATTACACGTTGACTCCCGGGTTCAATGAAAGGGGTCGGGGAGATGCTGCCGCGGATTTTTAATATTCTCGCCGAGAGACGCGGGCGCGGCAGACGCGTGCATTGCCGAGACTGCGAATTCATTCGTCCCGGTACAGATGCAACCCAAACATTCCCACGGAGCCCGTCCCGACGAGTCACCCCACCATGCGGGAGACCGTGTGCCTCGCCTGCTCATGCGAGTGTGAATCTTTTTTCGCGAAGTGTGCATTAAAAAAAACTAAAATTCTTATTGTTAATAATTTTACATTCACGATCGCGCACCAACATAACAACCCCGGTGACGACACTGCATTGTCATTGCACCTCCGATCGGCACGGTTGGCTACGTACGGTGCGAAAGAAGTTCAACGTACACTCAATGCAAGCGAACCTACGGGAGTGACGTCGCAGTCACGGACAACGGGCGCCGTAATCGGATCCGAATGTTTTTTTGGTTTCATCCTGGAAGAGAAATCCGATGAGCGATGAAGCTCTTTTTCACAGACGTCCAGTAAGGGCGGGTCAGCGAGTTATATTAATCTCCGTTTAGCACGGTCGGTTTTACGTACGGCGGGGAAGACGTTCAACGTCAACACGCACAAAAGACGATACGAGCGCACAATAGAGAAAAGGTAAGCACTCGACATAAATGAATAAACAAAGAACGTATGTAAGTAGAAATTGCACAAGCACGCACATTCCTGCCGATTCGTCTAACACCAAATGCAAGCTTGGGGCAAGGCAGCAAAACAGTAACAGCAGTCCCATACCACAGCGAGACAACAAAGGACAGTCCCTCAATGACATAGACATGCCCAGAGCACGTGTTTTCTTTTTGCGTTCCAGTTGAGGATGGATCGTGGCCTAGGGCCGTGCCACACTAACGCAAGTTTGGAAAAATAATGTGTTCAGAATCCATGCGTATGCACGTTTTTTTATTTCTTGTTTAGCATTCCTTCACCAAACTTCACATATCAAATAGGATCCGGGAATGACATCGCTAACACCTTGTACCCTGTGACAGCATCACTCACAGGTGTACTTGTGGTCTACTATGTGATCCATAGTCTGTAAGCCACTGACAACACCTCCCCATTGCAGAACTATCGCTATTGCTATCCCTTGCCTCGATTCACACAGCAAAGTGCGGCCATGCGTCACTTGACATGTGTGTGCATGTTGTTTGTCTTTCATATAAACCCCCACACGCACCCATTGGTCAAACCATCCCAGCCCCCATCCCCTCTGCAAACAAATACCATCACACACCCACCGACAACACTCAACCCTACCCTGGGCCACGGCGTGGTGACGGGTGGCGTTACGAGGTGCAAGCCACACCAAAGATCCCCCGTATAGCCTCGACAGACTTTGGGGGCAAAGTGCTGTGAGCGAGCACCTATCAATGCCGACACGGCACGGTCAGCACCGGGCAGCCTTTGGAGATAGTTTATACACCACAGCAGGTACCCGTTTGAAGTTCAGATATTCGTTACTGGTGTTGACCGTGAGCAGGAATCGAACTCGTGGCCGGGTCCGTAGCGAATCGCACGAACCGCTACACTACCGCTCCCCATTCGCGCGAGGCAATACAATTGGAGTAAATATACATCTCCTCCCGTTACGTATTTTCACATTGAACTAGAATACAAAACAAATTAACGATGAATATTGCAATTTTCAGGAATCCTGCCGTGGTGTAATGGATGTTTATCGAACATTGGACTTGCGCTTTTTATAAACAAATGGGCTTTAAATTTTGACTTCAAACTTTTGTGACTGCAGAAATTCATATTCTTGGTTCTTTCGGTAAAGTCACGTAGATAGAACATTTAATAAATAAAATAAAAATAAAAGCAAAAAAACCCCACGACGTTTCGATCGCAACACAAGCGGTCTTCATCCGCCTGATGAAGCGATCTTCATCCGCCTGATGAAGCGATCTTCATCCGCCTGATGAAGCGATCTTCATCCGCCTGATGAAGCGATCTTCATCCGCCTGATGAAGCGGTCTTCATCCGCCTGATGAAGATGATGAAGACCGCTTGTGTTGCGATCGAAACGTCGTGGGTTTTTTTTTGCTTTTATTTTATTTTAAATTAGTTTTCTTCTATCTACGTGACTTTATCGAAAGAACCAATAATAGAAATGGGCTTTACACCACCACGGTAAGTATGCGAACGGCAGTTGGCTTGCAGTGGGGTAAAGTGTGGATACCCCCTCTTCTGGAACCGATGGGAAGCTATCTCAGTGCAAGACGCACGTGCGCAGCGACGGGCAGAGAAACGGTGGAGAGGCCACTGCAAAGGAGATATCGGCGACGGAAACGGCCACGTGCTCCAACGGTCCGAAAGGTCGAGGGGGGTTTAAGGAAGAGAGGCACTTCGCTGTCCAGCTTTAATAGCGGGGACTTCGCGTTGAATCTGTGATGTTCACGGGCATACGAGGCCCTACTGCGCGCACGCGCGTGCTGCCCGGGTGCCTCGACAGTTGGAGGCAGAAGCGCTTTAATTGAATCTGCATAAGCTACAATATAGGGTTACGTGGTGCTTACAGAGCACGCCAAAATCATAACATATATAACCATATCAATTATCTAGGAGATGGCCGGGTGGGGTGGCTCAAAGGTCAAAGCGCCGAGCAAAGCTCCGCGCAGAGAGCCTGGGTTTGAATCCGGGCAATGTCGATGGTGGTCTCGGCTCGGTCACCACGATCGTAGCACACGTGACAAAAAATAATTGTCTCGTCGCTTCACATTTTGTTCCACAACCCCATTTGGCTGACTTCGGGATCTTGATTCGTAATATATTTTCTTCGTCAGATCTGGTAAGTAAAATGCGTGTCAATAGCAATAATAACATTAAAATGTGTGACACGGCCAATTATTGAAGTTGTCACGTGAACACACGTGCTGGTTTATTACCGCATCAGCACAGCGGTGTGTTTGAGAGCAATCCACGACATTCACCTATTGGGTAGTCCGAGGTATTACTGGTATTTACAACCAGCACCATCAGGCAGAGCGGTTGGGAACAGTTCTACCCCCCCCGCCTTCCCTACTTGAAGGGATGCTAGAAGTAGTTTTGCGGTATCTACTTCCGTGCGCCATTCTCTGCGAGCGATCCGAGTGACCAATTCGTTTCACACGACACCGCACGCGACACAATCAAGGACAAAATTGAGTTCAACTACCTAAACAAATAAACGTACTGTGGTCAAGTTCCTTTATTTAGCGGGGCGTGGTGGGGGCACGCGTGCTTATCCAGGGTTGGTGGATCACGCGTAGACTAGCGAGTGAGTGTATACTTTCTTTCTCCAGACAGGAGGGCAAATTGGTCGGCAGGTAGCAGTACAGCAAGTGGGTTGTGTACCTCGTATATGGGGACATTTGCATGTGAAGTCGTTGTACGTGTGAGTACTCAGGTTTCCTCTCCACACAAAACGCAAGATCCAGTCGCGTCGCAGAGTATTTGCTCGCTCTTGTAGAGAGAGGACGACTCGGAGGCGACAGGAGGATGAGGAGTCACAGACGAGCAGCAGCAGCCACGCAGCGGTGAGAAGCCGGAGTTACCAACAATTGCCCAAGCTCTGCGTTCCTCTATTTAGTAGGGTTGTGTCGCCCAATTCAAGAGTATATATACATGTGGGGTTTCGCCGGAACATCCGGCGAAACCCCACGTGTGCGAGGGGGCAACGCTCTATCCCCACACAGGTGGGATGAAATGCCGAGTCCACATTTTGCTGGACCGCCTTCTCCTGGAGAGCCAGGGGTCTGGCTTTCTCCACGCCCACGGTAAGGGAGTTTCGCAACATCTGTGTGTAATCCACCAACCCTCGCTGTTGTCTCCACACAGTGCTGGATTCCAGGCAGCCAGGTGCAGCAAGCCAACTACAGCCCGGCTGGTATTTAAGCCAACGCTGTGTGCCACCCAGAGTTCTGTTATGGACTGCGCGGCTGCTGCCAGGCCATGCTGTTAGGCTCTGCTGTTTATGAAGCGTCTTAACGGTGTTTGCATAACCCTATGAACTGGTGATGCAATTCACACAAATGCGTGAAAAAAACCGCTGGCTAATCTATAAAGCACATCTATCCTAGCTACAGGAATACACAAGACACAACGAATGTTTCTATCATTTAGATACAGTACAGATGATACACATACCTTCACAGGTGTACCTGAACCATGTTAGGTACACCTGTAGGATTTAGCTGTATCAGGATAGGTACGCTTGTGTTATTAGCATTTGTAAGGATGGGATCACGTGTACCAGAATAGGTACAAACTGTATCATGCACGTGTACCAGGTTAGATTCGCCTGTGTCAAATTGTATTCGGCTGTGCCAACACGGGTTTAAGGCTTTGCTTTATTTGTTTAATTTATTAGATTTCAGCGCTTTGTATATCTGCTGCTGGTTGAGGGCCTCCCAACACAGCTCGGGTCGTGGTGGGTTATTTGACCATACTTCACCACGCTGGTCAGTGCGGGTTGGTGAAGGCCATCATCGTGTATTCCCAGTTAAATGAGTCTGGTTGTTTTGCAGTTGATCGGTACTGGCGACCCCGCAGGGAAAAGGGGCCGTCCATAAATGACGTCACGCGATTTTGGTCGATCTTTGACCCCCCCCCCCCCCGTCGTCACACGGCGTCACAAAAAGTCAGACCCCCCCCGCACATATGACGTCACAAAGCTCTGCCCCCCCCCCCAAAAAATATAAAACATGCTTCAAATCGCTTTAAACTATTGTCATTGTAGTGCGTATTTAATGTGGCGCTGCACTCTGATGTTGTAGGAGAAAAGTGTATTAAAAAGTCTGTTTAATTAAGTAGAACGTGTTGTCTATATTTATTTAAAGTTACGCATTTTGATGTGACGTCACATTTCTCAACCCCGCCCCCCCCTCGTCACACATCGTCACACATCGTCACAAATGTCTGACCCCCCCCCCCAGGTGCGTGACGTCATTTATGGACGGCCCCAAAGGCACAGTCCACCTCGCAATATATACCTGGACCCAAATTACCATTGCAATAAAATGCATTTATAGTCACTGATTTTCCTGATTTGATAAGTCATTGCAGTCTTGTATCTGATGTTATCCTGGTACCGGTGATTTCCACTGCAGAGTAAACCGGGCTGTATGTCTCAAGTCAGCCTTGGTCTATTGACAACATTGTGGACTTTTTATGTTGTAAAGTTCAACACGGCAATACCGGTACGAGACCTCAGATACGAATTAATTCCTGTCAGCACCTGTCATCTGTACTTGGGGATGCCCCCTGTCATCTGTACTTGGGGATGCCCCCTGTCATCTGTTCTTGGGGATGTCACCTGTCATCTGTACTTGGGGATGTCACCTGTCACCTGTACTTGGGGATGCCCCCTGTCATCTGTACTTGGGGATGCCCCCTGTCATCTGTTCTTGGGGATGTCACCTGTCATCTGTACTTGGGGATGTCACCTGTCATCTGTACTTGGGGATACCCCCTGTCATCTGTACTTGGGGATGTCACCTGTCATTTGTACTTGGGGATGCCCCCTGTCATCTGTACTTGGGGATGTCACCTGTCATCTGTACTTGGGGATGTCACCTGTCACCTGTACTTGGGGATACCCCCTGTCATCTGTTCTTGGGGATGTCACCTGTCATCTGTACTTGGGGATGTCACCTGTCATCTGTACTTGGGGATACCCCCTGTCATCTGTACTTGGGGATGTCACCTGTCATTTGTACTTGGGGATGCCCCCTGTCATCTGTACTTGGGGATGTCACCTGTCATCTGTACTTGGGGATGTCACCTGTCACCTGTACTTGGGGATACCCCCTGTCATCTGTACTTGGGGATGCCCCCTGTCATCTGTACTTGGGGATGTCACCTGTCATTTGTACTTGGGGATGCCCCCTGTCATCTGTACTTGGGGATGTCACCTGTCATCTGTACTTGGGGATGTCACCTGTCATCTGTACTTGGGGATGTCACCTGTCATCTGTACTTGGGGATGCCCCCTGTCATCTGTACTTGGGGATGTCACCTGTCATCTGTACTTGGGGATGTCACCTGTCATCTGTACTTGGGGATGTCACCTGTCATCTGTACTTGGGGATGTCACCTGTCATTTGTACTTGGGGATGTCACCTGTCATCTGTACTTGGGGATGTCACCTGTCATCTGTACTTGGGGATGTCACCTGTCATCTGTACTTGGGGATGCCCCCTGTCATCTGTACTTGGGGATACCCCCTGTCATCTGTACTTGGGGATGTCACCTGTCATCTGTACTTGGGGATGTCACCTGTCATCTGTACTTGGGGATGTCACCTGTCATCTGTACTTGGGGATGCCCCCTGTCATCTGTACTTGGGGATGTCACCTGTCATCTGTACTTGGGGATGTCACCTGTCATCTGTACTTGGGGATGTCACCTGTCATCTGTACTTGGGGATGTCACCTGTCATCTGTACTTGGGGATGTCACCTGTCATCTGTACTTGGGGATGCCCCCTGTCATCTGTTCTTGGGGATGTCACCTGTCACCTGCACTTGGGGATGCCACCTGTCCCGGGTCGACCCGGGACAGGTGGCATCCCCCAAGTGCAGGTGACAACAGACAGGTGGGAGCCCCACGTGGTCGCGTGTCACGTGGCGTCATCCAGGAAGTTGGTGTTTGGTTTCCATGGAGACCAGCGGCACCGGAGACGCGGCGGAAACCGCAGCAACAGTCACTCGACTACAGCGACATCTATAACAGCAACATCTACTACAGCAACATCTACTACAGCAACATCTACTACAGCAACATCTACTACAGCAACATCTACTACAGCGACTACTACTACAGCGACTACTACTACAGCGACATCTGCTACAGCAACATCTACAACAGCAACATCTACAACAGCAACATCTACTACAGCAACATCTACTACAGCAACATCTACTACAGCAACATCTACAACAGCAACATCTACTACAGCAACATCTACTACAGCAACATCTACAACAGCAACATCTACTACAGCAACATCTACAACAGCAACATCTACAACAGCAACATCTACAACAGCAACATCTACAACAGCAACATCTACAACAGCAACATCTACAACAGCAACATCTACAACAGCAACATCTACAACAGCGAATACTACTACAGCGACTACTACTACAGCGACTACTACTACAGCGACTACTACTACAGCGACTACTACTACAGCAACATCTACTACAGCAACTACTACTACAGCAACTACTACAGCAACATCTACTACAGCAGCAACATCTACAACAGCGACTACTACTACAGCGACTACTACTACAGCAACTACTACAGCAACTATTACTACTACAGCGACTACTACTACAGCAACTACTACTACAGCAACTACTACAACTACAGCAACTACTACAACAGCAACTACTACAGCAACTACTGCAACAGCAACTACTACAGCAACTATTACTACAGCGACTACTACTACAGCAACTATTACTACAGCAACTACTACTACAGCGACTACTACTACTACTACTACAGCGACTACTACTACAGCGACTACTACTACAGCAACTACTACTACAGCAACTACTACAACAGCAACTACTACTACTACAGCGACTACTACTACAGCAACTACTACTACAGTAACTAGTACTACTACAGCGACTACTACTACAGCAACTACTACTGCATCTACTACTACAACAGCAACTACTACAACTACAGCGACTACTACTACAGCAACTACTACTACAGCAACTACTACAACAGCAACTACTACTACTACAGCGACTACTACAAAAGCGACGATTACTACAGCGACTACTACTACAGCGACACTACTACAGCGACTATTACTACTACAGCAACTACTACTACAGCGACTATTACTACTACAGCAACTACTACTACAGCAACTACTACTACAGCAACAACTACTACTACTACAGCGACTACTACAAAAGCGACTATTACTACAGCGACTATTACTACAGCGACTACTACTACAGCGACACTACTACAGCGACTATTACTACAGCGACTACTACTACAGCAACTACTACTACAACGACTACTACTATAGCAGCAACATCTACAACAGCAACATATACAGCAGCAACATATACAGCAACATCTACTACAGCAAATACTACTATAGCAGCAACATCTACTACAGCAACTACTACTACAGCATCTACTACAGCAACTACTACTACAGCAGCAACATCTACTACAGCAACATCTACTACAGCAGCAGCAACATCTACAGCAACATCTACTACAGCAACAGCAACATCTACAGCAACATCTACTACAGCAACATCTACTACAGCAGCAACTATATTTTCAACAGCAGCAACAACAACTGCAACATCAGTGAAAGCACAATCAAGAGCGTCAACACAACGTACACAGTAAGAGCAACCTTAACAACATTAGCAGCAACATCAACATCGCTCTACACACGATCTCAAAAGTGAGAGCAGAAACATTCAGGGTATAACAACAGCAGCAGCATCAATAACGGAAACAATAACAACAACACGCATAGTAGTGACGGCTACAGCTGCAGTAATAACATCAGCAGCATTAACGATCGTATGAATGAGAATAGTCATTTACAGCAGCGCCGGCTATAATATACAAAGATCACCCGTATAGCCTTAATGGAGTGTTGGGGCAAGTGCTGTTAGCGAGCAGCACCTATGAAGGCCGGCACGGCACACGAGAGGTGGGTGGCCAGCACCACGCCAGGCCGCCTTTGTCTCCTTAGTGGCAATGTTTACACACCGCACCAGGTACTCATTTGAGGCTGAGTCGACCTAGGGGGAGGCCCAAGACCGGTTTAGATAATCATCACTGGGTGTTGGCCGTGAGCGGGAATCGAACCCGGGTCGCCGGGTTTGTAGCGCAGCGTAAACCGCTACACCACCGCTCCTCAATAATCTATACACACAGCAACACCAACAGTACTAAACACAGCGAGAACAGTGTGACAGAAGCGACGACGACGTCTTTGACAACAAAGACATCGATGCAACAGCAGCAGCAGCAACACCCACGACTGCGCCAACAACAACACGTTTAGTGCGTTATTAGCCACACCAATGTGACCCGACATTCGCCACTAAGTGACGGTGTGACATCCCCACAGCGCCTGTGCCAGGCTAGGTCCACTTTGAGGCTACGTGAAGTGTTGAGGGCTCGCTGGACAGGAGGTCACGGGACAGACCCAGGTGCCACGGGTTGACTTGACTGAGATGACTGGCTGATGCACCAGCTGTACCCCCTATTGTGCCCAACTCTGCTAATGCCGGCACAGCATTTATCAAAGCAATATAAACAAACAGTAGCATCACGGTGTTCGTGGCAAAGGTAGTATTGTTTTAACAGCAACAATAGCAATGCCGGCAATATTAACAACAGCAGGGTAGTTAACGAACGTGAGAGTAATACTGGCATAACAACAACAGTTGTAGTAACAACAATATTATCATTACTGCAGTCATAGCTTGGGCAGTAGCGACAAGCAGTATTCACAGTACAGGTACTGTAGTATTAAGAGCAGTATGTAGTCAGGGTCGTATCAGTGGCGGCGCTTGGAATTATAATCAGAAGATTTATTGACACCGGAGGAATCCGATGAGCTATAAAGCTCTTTTTCACAGGCTGTCCAGTAAGAACGTTACAACAACAAACAATAAAAAAACATGATCGTAGTGCAAAGTATAAGAAAGGTAAACAAATAACCAAAACACATAAAACTAAACCATGCCCATCCTACCAGGCAAAGCCAATGAGGTGTTAGCTTACGTGAAAGCACAAGCAGAGTGGCCCAGATAGCTGAAGCCCCCCTGAATTAATTTAAATACAATCGTGGTGCGTCTAATATGAGCTCAAATTCAAATCTTTAAAAAAAAACTACAAGCTATCGCAATTAATATAAAACCTCAATGAATGTCTCATCTCTGTCTTGTCAGCATCTATATCGTCTCTCACTACTACGACGAATGTATTGTCTATATCTCTCCTGTCATATCACCAGGGTTTCATCAATTGATAAAGGGGCCCTCAGAGATAAATTCTGTTTGTGTCCCCCAATGGGTTAGCAACACCGCTGGTGGTGATAGTCGTAGCATTGGTAGCAGCGGTAACACTAACAGCAAGTCTTCTCAGCAGCAGTAAGAATAACAGCCATGTGTACTTCTCAGCAGCAGTAAGATTAACAGCCATGTGTACTTCTCAGCATGGATTGTGTTTCATCAAAATACATTAACAGTTAGGCCACAAGATGAGCAACATGCCAGTAACAAACATGGGCCAATAAATGTGCCGGGTGGCTCAAAAGAGTCTGAATGGCCGTCAGAGGACACTCAGCTGGCAGCTGCTGAGATTGGGGGTTTAGACACCATGTGATTCATCTGCCTTCTCGAGTACACTGAAGGTGCCATATGGTCTCAGGCTGGTCATCAGCCCCTGCACAAAAACATAACGTCGTGTTGAATTTGTCTTGTCGCTTAATTTCATATTTCCTGCTATGAAGCCCGAGAATATCATATAGGAGGGCACATTAGAAAGGGCGGTAAAGATGTGGATGAAAAGCAGTTGAATGGATCTCAAGTAGTTCTTTAATATCACTGTCCAAAGGGGATTCGCTAACTTCGAATAATGCACTCCTTTCTGTATGACTTCCAGATGTTCATGTCTTCATGTTGTTTCTAATAATTACAATTGGAAATTGGGAGATAAGATAAACGAATCTTGACTTTTTCCCTCCTGATGACGATCGCTTGTGTTGGCATCGAAACGTCGTAGTTTTTTTGTTTTGTTTATTTTATTATTTTTGTAACCTATCTACGTGATCATGGGACCTCCTTTGCCAGTACCAAAATATGAGAATAGGTTTTCCCCATTTTTCTGGCAACAAAACAGGTGTTGAGATGTTAAAACACCAAACTGAAACTTTTTACAAGGAATCATGTCTGCATTAGACACAATGCTTGTGGTCAGAATGCAAACAAAAAACATACTCTGATAATATGCATTGTCCTTGATACTGATTGGTCCACACCAGAGACAGCTTTCTTTTCAGCCTCGTCTCATCATGTGATCTCCTACTGGCAAAGGAGATCCCATGATGTACAGTGAGGGAAAAAAGTATTTGGTCCCTGCTGATTTTGTACGTTTGCCCACTGACAAAGAAATTATCACTCTATCATTTTAATGGTAGGTTTATTTGAACAGTGAGAGACAGAATAACAACAAGAAAATCCAGAAAAACGCATGTCAAAAATGTTATGAATTGATTTGCATTTTAATGAGGGAAATAAGTATTTGACCCCTCTGCAAAACATGACTTAGTATTTGGTGGCAAAACCCTTGTTGGCAATCACAGAGGTCAGACGTTTCTTGTAGTTGGCCACCAAATTATCACACATCTCAGGAGGGATTTTGTCCCACTCCTCTTTGCAGATCTTCCCCAAGTCATTAAGGTTTCGAGGCTGACGTTTGGCAACTCGAACCTTCAGCTCCCTCCACAGATTATCTATGGGATTAAGGTCTGGAGACTGGCTAGGCCACTCCAGGACCTTAATGTGCTTCTTCTTGAGCCACTCCTTTGTTGCCTTGGCCGTGTGTTTTGGGTCATTGTCATGCTGCAATACCCATCCACGACCCATTTTCAATGCCCTGGCTGAGGGAAGGAGGTTCTCACCCAAGATTTGACGGTACATGGCCCCGTCCATCGTCCCTTTGATGAGGTGAAGTTGTCCTGTCCCCTTAGCAGAAAAACACCCCCAAAGCATAATGTTCCCACCTCCATGTTTGACGGTGGGGATGGTGTTCTTAGGGTAATAGGCAACATTCCTCCTCCTCCTCCAAACACGGCAAGTTGAGTTGATGCCAAAGAGCTCCATTTTGGTCTCATCTGACCACTACACTTTTACCCAGTTGTCCTCTGAATCATTCAGATGTTCATTGGCAAACTTCAGACGGGCATGTATATTTGCTTTCTTGAGCAGGGGGACCTTGCGGGCGCTGCAGGATTTCAGTCCTTCACGGCGTAGTATGTTACCAATTGTTTTCTTGGTGACTATGGTCCCAGCTGCCTAGAGATCATTTACAAGATCCTCCCGTGCATTTCTGGGCTGATTCTTCACCGTTCTCATGATCATTGCAACTCCACGAGGTGAGATCTTGCATGGAGCCCCAGGCCGATGGAGATTGACAGTTCTTTTGTGTTTCTTCCATTTGCGAATAATCGCACCAACTGTTGTCACCTTCTCACCAAGCTGCTTGGCAATGGTTTTGTAGCCCATTCCAGCCTTGTGTAGGTCATTCCAGCCTTTGGTCTTGGCCTTGGTGGAGAGTTTGGAATCTGATTGATTGATTGCTTCTGTGGACAGGTGTCTTTAATACAGGTAACAGGCTGAGATTAGGAGCACTCCATTTAAGAGTGTGCTCCTAATCTCAGCTCGTTACCTGTATAAAAGACACCTGGGAGCCAGAAATCTTTCTGATTAAGAGGGGGTCAAATACTTATTTCCCTCATTAAAATGCAAATCAATTTATAACATTTTTGACATGCGTTTTTCTGGATTTTTTGTTGTTATTCTGTCTTTCACCGTTCAAATAAACCTACCATTAAAATTATAGACTGATCATTTCTTTGTCAGTGGGCAAACGTACAAAATCAGCAGGGGATCAAATACTTTTGTTTCCCTCACTGTAGATGCTCACCCCGAGCTCTCATTACTCTGATAGTGCATTGTCTTTGGGCTGTACGCCTTTTGGCGTCCTCTGGTCTAACACCGTTTTGACACTGATGACCGCTTGTGTTGCGATCGAAAGGTCGTAGTTTTTTGTTATTTTGTTATTTTCTTTGAACCTATCTACGTGACTTTACCGAAAGACCCAAAGAATAATAAAAAAAAATTGGCGGTTGTTTTCTCTCTCACCTACTTGGCCACAGTTTGGTGTGAGTTTACCACGTGTCAATCCATTGTGTGTCCATCCATTGTTGCCCATGGCACTTTGTCAGTTAATTTCAGTCCATTCCAGACCATTTGCAGTCATTGATGATAATATCCTACATTTTCCCAATTATGTTAGTTTAACACACAAGACGCAGCTGTTGGACAAGGATGGATAATATCCATTTTACTATTTTGCCCAATTTGGTTAAGTAGGCCATTTGGCAGGGCAGGTCGAAGTGCCCATGTGTGATCTTTCTCAGAGCAGGTGTGAGGACCGTGGGGACTGCGCGTGTTCGTTGAATGAAGCGAGTATATTGCCATGCCACTGTCTGCTAGGTGCAGCCGCACAATGCAGACCGTGGCCAGGCCCTACTCCTCGGGGGAGCTGAGCAGGTGGAGGCCAGCACTCCAACCCCAGGATCACCCAGACCCCGCCAGGCCTTCTGCTCCCCGGACCAGAAGCCCAAGCCTCGTAGGGCCCCGTAGGCTGGTGCCCAACCACTTGCTCCAAACAAGTGAGTTCTGCAGACATCTTCGTCTGCTGCATCTGCCTGCATTGCACAGCGCAGAGAGATGTTGATATCATTGAATGTGGCTAGTGCTGTGTAGGATTTGCGGTTGCATTGTATACTCTCCAGTGTGTTTCCCAGTTGTACCACGTCTTGTTTGGCATCTGGTTATTATTCACATGTACATATATAAGTTACACTAAAGATAATGAATAGAATGAGACAGAATGAGCAACATTAAATATATTTGATTTATAAATTGAAACGCAGCCCCGAGTCTTGACTATTCATTGAATCACTGCAGGAGTGTGGGGGAAGTGAATTATTCGATGCTTGGCGGATACACACATCCCACCATCTCGACGCCCAGAACATTGCCAAAACTCAGCATGCAGCTAAATACCAGCCCACGCTGAGATAGCTGTTCCTGTACAAGGGCCATTAGGGTGGCAGGGTGGCAAGGTGGTAATACTTGTGCCTCACAGCTCGGATGGCGTAGGTTTGATTCCCGACTCGGCAGCCTTTCTGTGTGGAGTTTGTATATTCTCCCCCATATTTTGCAAACATCCCAATGCAAAATAAAGTTGCCTGCAAATTTCTCAATTTAGATGCACAAAGCAACATTGCCCTTGACTGCAAAAAAAATTGGGAGTACCTTTCTGAAAAATAATTGGAAGCTCAGTGAGGCTTTCCTGGGTAAACAAGCGTAATAATTTATTTTTATTATACAAATGGTCAATTTCATGTGTCATGGTGGAGATGCTCATAGATTCAGACCTGCCCTGAACAAGCGTATAAGAAAGAGTTTATTTCGGAACCATTCAATGTAATTCGATAACTCGTTGCTCAGTAATATTAACTTTATGTGCATTTCTCATGAATAAATTGTAAGTGTTTTAAATTTCATAGCGTGTTGAGCAAAGGGCCCCGGAGAGAATGCCGTTTACGCTGCAATACGTGCACGTACGTTCTGAATGCACGTGCAACCCACCCTTGCGGCTTTAGAGATTAAACACATCTTGTCAAATCAGCGCCGTTTTATCAGTAAGGTTATGAAATTTCATTTATTTCTCTTCCGTTCTGTTTTTTTTTACTACAAAGCCTTGCCGTTATCAGAAAGAACCGCAGCGGTGGCAGTGCACCTTTGAATTTGATAATTTCACATTATTATGACTGCTTTGTCATTTCGCGGTAAAGGTCGCGTTCCAAAAAAGCTGGCCGTTTTGCAGGAACCTTCAGGAACATTGTCAAGAACCAAGTGGTCGAGGCCAAGCCTGGGATCCTACATTTCGGAGGCTACGAGCTGGGGAAACGGCATGCACAGGACGTGGTAACTCCGGCCTCCACAGCCACCTCTGCCGCTCACTCTTCCCGGCCTCGAGCACTGCCAGACTTAGATTCGCACCTTCCCATTAGTATTCTGCTTTGGGTTTTTCCCAGGATTGTTCCCTTTTTGGGGTAGCTGTCCTGGGAAACATGTAAGTCTCTGCGGGACATTAACGGTCCTGGCTTTTTTCAGGAGCAGAATAATATACCACTGAAGACAAGGCATTAACATGTCGTTCTCCCCTGTCCTGGTATTGTGATATATTTTTTTATTTCCTGCAATATGTCCTGGCTTCTATGTACCTTTGTACCTTGGCGGGGGCAATCCTACTTCTACCTTCCTTTGAGTTTCCACTGTACTTTTAGTACCCACCTGGCCTTGATTCCTCACCTGGTCCCGAGGCCCCACCATGGTGAGTGACAACTCTAGATCGACAGTGCACGCAGCAACATCACCACTGACGCTCAATTACACGTGTTTAGTGTGAGATGGGGGATACCATAACAGCGTGCCAGAATGTCTGCTGCAACAAAGTGGTAACAGGGTAACTCGAATATAATTGTCTGTCTTTTCTCTAAGTAGATATTCCCGTACTGCCCCCGGACGTAAGTGTATCCAGTATAATACTGTTGGTATTCGAACGAGCGTTAATGCAAATACTGTATATTTAAAGATGCTGTACAGGAAGGTGGACATGCAGATGAAGAAGACTTGACAATGGGGAAGGGAGTAAGAGGTAGAAGACTGTAGAACAGAAAGGGCAAAGAGATAAGAGTGTGGCTTGATGTGATAGAGAAAAGCTATGGCAAGTGCAGCAATAGCCATTGTTGTGCGATGCTGTTTTAAAACGCCTGTGTTCCACGTCGTCACCAACCTGGACTGAGCAGTGTGATGAAATATGCTCAAATAATCCCCACCACCGTGTCAGCATGGTGAGGCCCTCATCCAACAATGGATCGATAAAATGACCATACATCTACATAGACAAAATACAGTCAATCCTAAGCAGAAGGGATGAGGAAAGTATTGAGCCTCGACTAGTATAGGGTAAGATAATCAGCAGCATGAGTGCGCAGAAGGGGAAATATAGCTAATCAGGACAGCGGCAGAGAGGAGCAAACTCCCTTTGTTGAGTGGAGGTTTATTTGGGGTTTCCAAATACGTGCTTGGTTGCTGGAGTGGCCATCACTTGAAGGAGAGTAAATCAAGGTGAGAGGGATAGAGGTAGGCCGAGGAAAGTCCGTGAAGCATCTAGACGAGTTAAGATGATCTTGTAGTTGATCCAGGATTTGATTGCGAGCCAGCGGAGGCATCTTGGGATTGGAGGGATGTGGTGTTGTTTATTGGTGTCGGTGAGAAACCGTTTACGGGTGCGGGAAGATGTCGAGTCAAGTGATGGGATACTGTAAGAGTAGACGTTGGAGATCAGGTGTTGGCTGTGCAAGAGTCATTAAATCTGTAATTGACGAGTCAAAACCCATCAAAACAGACTAATAATGTGGGCTGGAAAACCATGAGTTTCAAACGAGACAGAAATGTGTAAAAGTACACAGCCTTTGCGCGCAAGCGAAAAACCATCAGCATATCATGAAGAAGTGCATGTTCATCTTCAGGAAATGCAAACATTGTGTTTTTCTTACACATTTCTTTGTCTTGTTTGAAATATGTGGTTTTACGGCCTGCACTATGATTCTGTCATGATGTTTTTTTCTCTTGTGATTTTCGCATTTAAAATCCGTTGGCATTAGCCAAACTCATGCACCCCATCGTGGGGATGTGGGTACTCCACATATATGGTTCTCAGAGGGAGACTGCAGCAGTTAACATGGGTGACTCTGCTGTGCTGATGAGTCCTAATTATGATAAACCAGCCCACAGTTGTCCATCACTGCATCATCTCTGCTGCTGTCAGTCGGTCACATTTGCTCACATGTTTTGAGATGGTGGCCGAAGATAAGAAGACCACAATGCAATTCTTCAGGAAATGATGACGGCTTGTTGGCATATACACAATGGCTGTGTGTGTTTTGCACAGGACTGCATTTTTGTCATGTGGAACAGTTTCAGGAACCGATAGAAGTATGCTAGTAGTTAAGCATTGTAACTTAAATAGCACCGGTCATTGTGACCTTCATGATATTGATCTTTTCAATTTCAGGACATATTTTGAGCCACTAATTGTCTGCTCGTTTAATTGTTCTGGAATATGTAGCAAGCAACCCTATTACACACTTTGTCCATATTTATCACAATTCTCCACGACGGCACGTAATGCTTTTTTTTAAGTGAACAGGCCTCGTGGTGTTGGTGGATTGACTCTTGCCACCCAATAACATTTGGAAATCTCGCCGCATTTGGTTAACCAGCCATATACCCTGCTGGTGAGATTTATAAAGTTAATTCCAATCCAGGATTTAGCTGCTGCTACCGTTGCTGGAAAATTATAATTCCAGAAGGCTGATTGGCAAAGGATTTCTTTTGAGGTGCGCTTGACTTTTTAATTAATCTCCATATTTTGGCGTTCTTTAAACATGATAGAAATATTTAATGGCAGTTTTTTTTGTTTTAATTATAGTTTCCCTTACTGTAAATCTGTCACTTTCAAGTTTTGTGGCTTTTAAAATAAATAAGCAGTGTTTATGTTTCCATGATTTATTTATTTTTGCTGTCATTACCGATTAAAATGCTTTATTGACTACATTTCATTGCCATAATTACGCGCATTTGTTTTTATTAATTTGTGCAGAGTTGTGTAATTATTACCACATTGTCAATTTGCTCATTTTAGTCGATTGATATATTGTTACGGTTATTGCATTGCTGCTATGAACTTTATAACATTTTTCTATTTGAAAAAATGTTTTTTTATGCCTTAAAGGGGTATTTATTATAAAGTTTTATTCGTGGTTTCATCATCAGCCATTTCCTATTAACTGCTGGATAATATCCTTCTCACATTCTCACTCTCCCCCATGGTCCTTTGATGCCAAAATTAATGTAAATTCTGCATGTGATCGGATGTAATTGCTCCGTCTTCACAAGAGTCGTCCTCTCATGTAAGAGCTCTTCTTTGCCTGCTACTCCATCATCAATCCCAACCATCAACTCCCAAGGATGATGTAATGAAATGTTTATTGACAGCTGCCACTGGGGGTGCCCATACAAATGTTTGAGATGAGATTTGGTGTAAATCGCCGATTGCGTGCAAAGCGCTCTGAGATTCCTCGGCGTTAAAGAGGGAGACTCAATCAAAAACAAATCATTATTATTGTTGTTGTTCGTTAACAGTCAATGTGATGTGTCTGCTTTATGTTTATCCTCTGATCCATGTGCCCCTTTTTCTCGTCTCTTGAGTGGAAAGAGACAAATGTGTATCACATACCACGGTGTCTGGCTGTTATTGATTTTAAATGGCATTATGTTCACTGAAAAGCTAAAGCAATCATCAAAGCGTTCACAACCCTAGGCATTTCATAAAGAAATGCATGATGCAACTGCTACTTTGAGATGGAGTAAATATAGAAGGAACATACAATTCAGAGAAGTCAGATAAGGAGGTCTGCACTCAGAAAATCTATTCATAGCAACAACAACATTTCATGAAAATAGTTTTTTTTATTAAATAATGGTATGAGCGTAAATGAATGAAGCATTCTACATCTTGTATGTCCTGATGGTAGAGTTGTTCTATCATATCAACGGAAAACTAATTACAGAAAATGATTGAACTGCAAAATGAAGACTGCAAATTTGGACTCAAGATAAATATGAGCAAAATAAAAGGCACAACAAAGTACGCTAGACAAATTACATCCGTGCATTTTTTTGGGGGGTGGCGTGGGAAAGAGTATTGGAATCAAAATTATGGTATAAGAATGCAAATGAGCGCAGGATAAAGCACTGATGGAAAGTCGAACTTGCTTATTAAAAGCAGCATAGAAGATCACTTCACTTTGTAACTCGCACGAGTATTCGATCACCATCGTCGAGGGGCGAGGGGGAACCACAGACGAGAGGGAAAGGAAGCCACACGGGGAACCAGAACCAAACATTTTCCAAACTCTACGGTTCCCTTTATATTATAGTGTTATCAGCAAATTAATGATTGTTTACATGTGGGAAGAAACTGGAGTACCCGGAAAAAAAACTCCCACACATGTGAGGGGGAAACACTGTATTCCATACAGACGAAACAGCCGGAGTCGACATTTATGCTGTACCACCTTCTCCTGGTGAGCCAGGTTACGCCCGCGCAATGATCCACCAACCCTTGCTGCCTCCGTAGCGCCGGATTACAGGCGTGCGTAGCCACCACCGCCTGGCTTTGTCTCTGAAGCGTAACGTTTTCAATAAGTGCATATTGCCAGCCATGACTTAGATCAGAAACATGGAAACTGAGAAATAAAGTTGGGGGGGGGAGGGGGGTAATTATTGCAAATTGTTCAAAGTGGCACTGAGGAAAATACAGATATCTTAATATTACAACGTTTCTTAATACTCCCCTGTGTTTTTCAGAAACTTATCAACATTTCAGCTGAGTGCATTAACATGCACATTATTCCTCCGCAAAGCAAACACTTTCAAGTGAAGTACTCCAAAAAGGTGGGTGACTCGTCAAAAGTGCTTGCGGTTTCTGATGATGCACTCTGAACTAAACTTGTTCAAATCATTTTTTTGCATAACCGGTAACCAAATGAAAACAAAACAGTTAACAAAAACGCTTACCAGTATGCTGCACGTACAGAAATATCTAGAACAAGAAATGTACATTGTCACCTTTTTAACTGAGAAATTAGGGGAGTTGCCCCCATGGTGTAACCGTTAGCTCACTGCATTTGCAATCGATAGACCGCTGGTGTCTAAAATCAGGCGTGTGGTGATCTTTGTCTTTGTGGTGTCTGTTCCCAGGGTGCACTGGTGCCCGGGCTGTCATTACGCGTGTGTGTAGAGTTCTGTCCAGACGAGTGGCGCTACTACTACGACTGTATCCGCGTCCACTGCCAGGTTGGTCTTTAATTCATCATCATCATGATAATCATCATCAGCCTTGATCAATGCACTGCTGGATAAAAGCCTCCCCCACGCCATCGCCACCCATCATGTTCATGTGATGTACTAATCCATCCAGCGCCTGCGCGCAAGCCGATTTCATTGCTCCGTCTCCCCGGTGAACGTCTGCGCAGACGCGTCCCGTTTCATTGGCGCCGCTTGGTCACTGTTTCTTGACCATCAGCCATCGTCCCCTCAAGTGGCACGTGTCGCGCTCAAGCCCACTTGCTTTTCTTAGCAGCTTTAATGGTGTAATTAATCTGCGTATGTTTACAAATCCATGTTTTTTTCCTCTTGCTGTGTCTTCATATAATTCCAAGCATGCATCTCTCCATGCTTCCTTGCAAACGTACCGTCGTTCACTTTGTTTTGTCTCCTTAATGATCACGTTTCTGAACTGTTTATCGTAGCGGGTAGCACACGGCAATTACTGCAATAATTGTATTGGTTATTAATGAGCTACGTACAATCCACTGCTGGATGAGGGCCTTCTCACACCGTGTGGGTCGTGGGGGGTTTCTCTGACCCTACTTTGTCACTCTGGGTTGGTAGTGAGGGCGTTGAGCATAGAAGTGGGATTAAGACAGCATAACACAACAATGGGTTATGCTCAACTGCCCTTGACTGCCCACCACGTTGCCCTATAGCTGTCTATAGGTTGTCTATCCAAGCCCTTGTCCAGGATCAAACCTGCTTAGCTTCTGAGATCTAACAAGATTCGGTGAATTATGGGTGATTTGGTCACAGGTAACACAAGCTAATAAAGATACCTTATTTTTCCAATATTTTGCAAGGGAGAGATCATTGAGTGGCATTGCTTGGAAATACATATTTTATAAATAAAACGTGTTTTGTGATTTTCTTATTTCGCTTTTGAGATGACATTGGTACGAAATGTCTGACTTTAGTCAGCAATGTTACGTGGGTGAGTGAATACTGTGCACGATACAAGTTGATATTATCGTTACAAATTCTCCAAATAAATAATTATCAAGTGGGGGTGAATATACAACAATCAATCCCGTGCTTATTAACTTAATGCAGAGTACACTAACAATAGACTTTTAGGTTACTGTCGAAGGGACTAAGCAATAGGTTCCTGTTCAGTCATTATACGTGGGCTCTGTATATTGCTTGTAAATCATTGCTGGGTTTGTGTGGTTACATATTGTGTCATGTAACGATGATTTGACTCTCCTGAAGTGTGGTGTCAGGTGTGGTGAGTGTGTCTGCCACATTTTGTGGCCTTCCATTTGTTCCGCGTGTTGCATCCCATCACTCCCCCGCCCCGCGCCCCCCCAAAGGGTGACGAGACGCTCCTGGTCCCCATCCACGGCTACCCGGTCGTCAACGTTCCTGACCTCCCCTCCTTCCTCAATATCCCAGACACCGCCCTCGGAGAGAGGTAAATCACGTGCCGCCGCACCCCAATTCCGGGCAAAACACGTGCAATGCAGCTGCGACGCGGGGGATGCATTTTAAAGCCCGGGGTCGCATCCTCATGATTTCATACATTACAGAAAAAGCAATCGGCAAAAAACATGAGCTTTTTCATGATTAAATTTAATCCGTAATTGTCAGCCCAGCTGCTTGGATGAATGGGTTGGGGATAGAGAGATGGAGATGCAGGGGGAGGGGTGGCGGCAGCAGCGGCGATGGTGGCGGCGGAAGGGGGTATGGGGTAGGTGGGTGTTCAAGCGGGTGACTCTTGGGGTGCGAGCGCGGGTAGTCGCGCGGGGCCCGGTGGGGGAGGGCAAGGGTGGCGGCACCCAGGTAATTAAGCTGGCAGAATCGCGTCGTGAGCAGCGTCTGCAGCGGGGACGCAAGTGGCGCGCACGAAGCCCCGGTCTCGCGGGCAGGTGCCGCGCACCGATAAGCGCCCTCATTTCCCCGTCGTGTGCCGAGCTCGCCGGTGGGCGGCTCCTGCCACCCCCTCCACCCCGGCTTAGTGATGCGCTGCGGTTGCCACCTGTGCTTGTTTTCCCAGAACGTCCTCTTCTTGAGATTACTGTCCTGGGGTTTTTGTTATTGTTTACGCCTTGTCAAGACATTGGAGGATGCTATTTCTTATTTATTTGCCAAGCCAATACATGTACGGGTAGTTTTCATGTTTTCTGGCATTGCGAGATATTCTTCTTCGGTACCGGCAGGGTGGCTCAGAGATATAATGAGCGCCTTCGCAATCGGAAGGTTGCATGTTCAAATCCTGGATGGGGTTCGCTCAGCCCATCGTTCCTCGAGGGTCATTAAAATGGGTACACCTTTGTGGGGAAGTCAACGGATGGCTGTCCTATGGATAGACTCTCTCCCATCATATGAATGCGGAATTTCCACCACTGAGGGGCGGGCTGCAAACCGTTGAAGCTCACCACCTCATTGCTCAACCCTACATGGTGCCCAAGAGTGCATCCCCACAGTCGCTATGGCACAGCGCTCCTTTACAGGGGGTATTTCTTTTACAGATTTCCCACCCACCCTACCAGAAATGCACAAGCACCCGCAAGTCGTGACTGTTGGAGCCATTAGGACGGTGATGTAAGCGCAATTCCAAACTGGAGGTATTTTAGTAAATTGTCCGCCGCACGTATCGGTTGGTGTTGGCAAGGCTCTGACGCATGGTAACAAATGCCATTACTCTGCAACTCCCCTGCAGGGCATATTCCGTCTGTTTATGTGCCTGCCGGTCGCGGCGGGGCCCTGCGGACAGGCACTGCATAATGCCAAACGTGTCTCGCGGCTTTTTGCTTCCGCGTAAATTGAGGGAGAAATTAGACCATTTAGATATAACCTTGGTCCCAAAAACCTCCCCCGCCCCCCACCCCCAGCGGGGAAACGAGAATTTCACGTACATGTAGCTCTTCTCCTCATCCCGTGAATGCACGCAAAATGAGAAGAAAAGGTCAACAGAGGCTGCGACAGCCTAATAATAGGATTAACGTGCCTATTGTGGCTTCATTGCCATCACCCCCGGAGACGTTTCAGACAGGCCTGTTTTGAAATGGAAATACATGCGTTTGAAAGTAATGCAGTGTAGTGACCTATAGCATGCAGATGTGACTGTTGCTAGGCTTTGTGCTTCCCTGCGGAGGGATCGATGGTAGGCCCTGGGATTAAAGGCAAGGAAGGCATCCTGCCTGTCTCCTTGTCGTTCCTGCTGTGCACGCCGCCAGGAGCCTTGTGTCGGTGCTGCCCCGAAGTCACGCCGGATGGGCCTCTGCACACGAGACAAAATGCGACACCGGTTAGATTTGTGTCGCCTCTAAGACCACATTCACTTTTTTACGAGACGGCTGAAGCACACATCCCCTTGACAATGTACCCCATTGTTGGCGACGTAAAGATATGCACTTTTCAGAAAGACCGTTAATCGATTAAGATGAGAATCTGCAACCCCCACCCCCCACTCCACTACGTGACTGCATCTCTAGACAAATATGAGAGATATGGGTTTTATGGGTGCAAGGGGATTTTGTGTGGGTTCTTTTCAGAGGACAGTGATGGATGGGAGGCTACAGAACAGACAGGGAAAATAAAGCAATTCATAGAGAGAGGGACGGTAAAGGAGGAGAACAGGAATGCCTTAAGCCTGGGCCTAAACAGCGCAAGTGGCATGGAGTTTCAGCTGGAGGTGCAGCAGTGGAGAAGGAACAAACTGACACTGAGCAGAGGTCAACTGGGGGGGGGGGGGTATTTACAAGTACAATCGGTTGATTTTGTGGAGGGGGAATAGAGTTGCGAGAGAGGCAAGGAGGAGCGAGTCAATGGAGGATCTTGATAATGGTGAGGGCCTTGTCATCTACTATACACAGAGATGCGGAGACAGAGACATACAGTGAGGAACAGGATAGCCTGGAGTATGAGGTGGTGAGGAAATGGCAGTCAGTACAGTCATGTATTTTTTTTAATCTATCTGTGCAGAGTTTTGAGTGTTAACTCCTTATTTCTGTGTTTTCTCTGGGTATTCTGATAACTCTCAGATACTCAACACTCATTAATGGTATTGGCTAAACCTCACTACACAGCATCCTCCTGAAAAAGTATTCAGACTCAGTGAGGCTTTCCTGGATAAAAAAAGCATTATTATTAGACATAGAGAACAGAAAGACACGCAAATTGACATAGACTATGAGAGATAGAAAGAGACGACAAGTCCTTGGATGACCTTGAAGATATTTTAAGGGTGATATTTTAATTTATCAAGGACTGCATGAAGAGTTAATGCAGTGACCTGACAATTGCGGTGATGTGGTATCGTTTACATTTGTGAGTGAGGAGTCCAGATAGGGCTCCAAAAGATGAAGCCTTTATCAAACAAAGCAAACCAAGGTGATCTTTATTATAACCCTTTACTTTATTTGTGCTGAAGAGTGTCATTTGAAGAAGAAAAAAAACGAATCTCAAAACACACGCAGGAGCTTTCATTGTATTAACATGTGCTCTGGAATGGCATTAGCTCTCCAAGAAAGATGCATTGGTGTCAACCCTCTAATTCGTCATCTGTGTCGGCCCTGTAATCAAACCCTGCGCTCGCGGTGTCATTGTGGACTCAATGGGAATGGATGTCAGAGGAAGCCAGTGTCCCTCGTGTGCGTAGGCCGTGTCTGATGAGAGCTCATTGTGCCAGTGAGCCGCTGTGAATATCCGAGAACACGGAAGCACACGGTCATTGAGATGAATCCATAGGTTAATGCGTCACATCGCCGGCACTATGGAGGGTATGAGACTGATGGAAATAAAATTAACCTTGATTTTATACATTGCAGGGGTGCTCTTCATCAGCTCAATGGTACTGGGCACGACCAAAGGCAAGGGCCATGTTTAGCGAATGCAATCATTTCTGAGTATGTGCATGGTAATTACGGCCATGTTTCCATAACAATTAGAAATCAGAGTAAGTGAGCCATGCTGGGCTGTCCTAGGAATGGCCCAGGGCTTCAAGGACCAGCCAGCTGCATACCCCTCTGCCAGAGGTAAGGCTATATGTATGAAAAGTTCTATATACAGTGAGAGAAAAAAGTATTTGATCCCCTGCTGATTTTGTACGTTTGCCCACTGACAAAGAAATGATCAGTCTATCATTTTAATGGTAGGTTTATTTGAACAGTGAGAGACAGAATAACAACAACAAAATCCAGAAAAACGCGTGTCAAAAATGTTATAAATTGATTTGCATTTTAATGAGGGAAATAAGTATTTGACCCCCTCTCAATCAGAAAGATTTCTAGCTCCCAGGTGTCTTTTATACAGGTAACGAGCTGAGATTAGGAGCACACTCTTAAAGGGAGTGCTCCTAATCTCAGCTTGTTACCTGTATAAAAGACACCTGTCCACAGAAGCAATCAATCAATCAGATTCCAAACTCTCCACCATGGCTAAGACCAAAGAGCTCTTCAAAGATGTCAGGGAAAAGATTGTAGACCTACACAAGGCTGGAATGGGCTACAAGACCATTGCCAAGCAGCTTGGTGAGAAGGTGACAACAGTTGGTGCGATTATTCGCAAATGGAAGAAACACAAAAGAACTGTCAATCTCTCTCGGCCTGGGGCTCCATGCAAGATCTCACCTCGTGGAGTTGCAATGATCATGAGAACGGTGAGGAATCAGCCCAGAACTACACGGGAGGATCTTGTCAATGATCTCAAGGCAGCTGGAACCACAGTCACCAAGAAAACAATTGGTAACACACTATGCCGTGAAGGACTGAAATCTTGCAGCGCCCACAAGGTCCCCCTGCTCAAGAAAGCACATATACATGCCCGTCTGAAGTTTGCCAATGAACATCTGAATGATTCAGAGGACAACTGGGTGAAAGTGTTGTGGTCAGATGAGACCAAAATGGAGCTCTTTGGCATCAACTCAACTCGCCGTGTTTGGAAGAGGAGGAATGCTGCCTATGACCCCAAGAACACCATCCCCACCGTCAAACATGGAGGTGGAAACATTATGCTTTGGGGGTGTTTTTCTGCTAAGGGGACAGGACAACTTCACCGCATCAAAGGGACGATGGACGGGGCCATGTACCGTCAAATCTTGGGTGAGAACCTCCTTCCCTCAGCCAGGGCATTGAAAATGGGTTGTGGATGGGTATTCCAGCATGACAATGACCCAAAACACACGGCCAAGGCAACAAAGGAGTGGCTCAAGAAGAAGCACATTAAGGTCCTGGAGTGGCCTAGCCAGTCTCCAGACCTTAATCCCATAGATAATCTGTGGAGGGAGCTGAAGGTTCGAGTTGCCAAACGTCAGCCTCGAAACCTTAATGACTTGGAGAAGATCTGCAAAGAGGAGTGGGACAAAATCCCTCCTGAGATGTGTGCCAACCTGGTGGCCAACTACAAGAAACGTCTGACCTCTGTGATTGCCAACAAGGGTTTTGCCACCAAGTACTAAGTCATGTTTTGCAG